TGTGGAAATTACTGTAGGCCAGTCTATAAATATTCCCAAAGATAGATTTTGACACAGACATTGTCTATTGAAGTTATATGAAAATGACAGTTTTTTGTTGTTTAAATTGCCCTATTTCCTTATTTATGCTGATATATCACTTTTATTTTCAAGATTTTATGTCTGACAGGATTAAATAAAACTTCATATGGAAATTTGAGCAGGAGCTAACTCCCTCTTATACCTCAGAGGTTTATATTTTGGCCAGATTTGGCCTGTAAACTGCCTGATAACATTTTATTCCAGATCTGCAGCTCTTTGTGTCCCCAAATCTAGTTAAGTCCTACAGTTAATTAGACACTCATTTGCATAATACACCCAATTGCTTAATAACATTCCGTCAATTTGATATCCCTGTAATAGCTTTACTGGTGTTAAGCTGCAGAATAAATCTGGCTGGAGGAATCTTGCTGTGGTCTTTACTATGGGCACTTGAATCTGCAATATTTATTACCTCAATTTTCTTTCATGGTCTTTCTGGCAAGATTCCCACCTTAACCCTATGTAGGTAGCCCTCTGTACACAAACGTAAGGACACTTCGTTCTCACAACTGAATTAACATGTCATCCATTGCCTTAAAAGCAAATTGCATAATCACATAAAAGACACATTTTAAAATAAGATTAATAGGATTACATTAACTTTTGCTATTGCACTTGCACTAAACCTTTGATGGACTTGTTTGGTACAGTACAAAAACAGTCTAGAAAAAGATGCCTTTCTTAGAGCGCTACAAACTAACATAGATGACTTCCCCTGAAAGCACTCAGAATTCTTTGTGACCACTGCTTGTATGGAAAATAAACATTTTAGGGAAAAATGCATTTACAGATTGAAGTCTAGGATGAAAAAGAAAGAGAAAGGGAATATTACATGTTTAAAAGAAAAACAAAACCCAGAAAAAAATCACAAGCAAAATACATAATCCCTGTTCAGAGTTAGCATTTGTTACAAAGGAATTCAGATAAAACTTTACCCTACATTTTCAATATTTATATAACCATTCTCTATATGCAGGAGAGGTTGGAGGTCATGATTTTGCAAAGACATCTATGAAACGTATACTAAATAACATTTTTTTTTTCAAAAATTTAATATATTAAGCCCTACCCGCTCCTTGTAGATAGGCCCAAGCGCTTGATACGTTATTATCCCTTTTCAAAAATCTTTGCCATGATGCTGTATTTCTTCAGTTTCACAAAGGTAAATAACAAAAACCAAAGCATATGGCTTGTTGCTAAGTAGTTGCATCATTTACCATAAATGAATGCAGCTGAAATACAGTATCAAGCCTCTTGTAAGATAGCTGCATCTTAAGGCCACTTCCTAGATAGGTGGAAGATCACATATCTTACATATTCTTTCTAGAATTGAGAACAGTTCTTTTTCTTAGTTCTTAAGTTATCTAAGTAAGGTATGTAGCTATGTAGAAAGATCCCACAGAAAATGAAACTGTGGAAGTGGGATTGGAAATGCAGTGGAAAATTGCAATAAGACCAATTTCATTCCAGTGAAATAAGGAAAGAAAAAGGATAGAGGTATTTCTCTCATAAACTAGGTGTCTGAAGCTCCTTTGTGGTTAAATGTGTCCATATAATTCATGAAACTTACTTCTCTTAAACTGTCTCTACCCACTCAAGTTTTCAAACTACAGGTGTCTGCATTTAGCTAACAACTGTAGAACACGTGCTACGCATGCACGAACTCCTGACAATTCAGGCTGCTAAAATACATCCAAGTCTCAATGTGAAACAGCTCCCACTTCTCAGATGTCTTACTCTACCTTTCATCAAGAACCTTACTTTGAATTGTATCCAGATTAGTACTAGGTTATCTGGTAGTTTGAAAGTGAGGCTCCTAATTTGGCAAAGTTGCTCTTAGTGACTCTGACCACAAAGACCACCCTACACAGTCTCCTTGATCCCTTAATCTTTGTGGACTACGTAAGTGGAGAAAGATAGGGCATACTGTGAAAGCGGATTCTTTTGCAATAGGAGATTTCTAGCTGTTTTCCTGGGTCTCTTGCCTTCCCATTGGACTGTACTTGTGCTTCTTTTTTTTCTCTTTCACCTCAAATTTCATTCTATTTTATGCCTAGCAAAATCTTCCCAATAGCACAGATATGTTTATACCTCTTCCTAAAAATAACATTAAGATTTGAAGCTCACTGTGTATACTGAGGATAGAGATCCTTTTCTCCGTATTGAAATATGTACAGAAGCAATTGATTTATTTCCTCTTGTACTTTTTCTAAAGCAGTGGTATTTGTGGAATAAATGGTCCATCACAGTCCAAGACTTTCTCCAAGTCTTTCATAAAATGCTACTACTACTGAAACAAAGGTGCAAGTGTTTTGAGAGTACCCTGCATGTGTGAGACATGGTGATGAACCTTCACGTATTTGGTGTAAAGGCCTTCAGTCTTTCTCACTGTGTACATAACAGAATTTGCTACCTAAAATAGCTGCCCTGGAAGAGGTATCTTTGGATAAATAATTTGATATATGCAAATATAAATGTTGATGACCAATTTAACCTTTTATCCTCAATTTCAATAGCGCCACATGATTTTTCTTTCAAAGAGCTACATTTATGGAGGTACTGTTTTGTTTTAAGAAAGGCTTTTTTTTTCCACATTCTGAATTAAAAATGGTTGAATTTAGAGTGAATTGATGCCTAAACTCTATAATTGCCTTAGTGGCTGGGGATGGTCTCCTAACATTAGATCTAGAGTTCAAACTATCAATCTGTGAAGGGAGAAGAGTTAGAAAGACCCAACCTCTGCAAGCAAAGTATAAACCAGTCTATAAGCAAGGAAAAGCAAAGTATTATCAAACATTTGATCTATCTCCTTATGGAAGAGCTTCAAGCAAAGAATATTCCAGTCGCAATTCTGCAGTTCCTTCAGGTCCTGGATTGAAAAAAAGGATTCTTTTCTCCTTGCTTTCCCAACCTATCTGCTCAATGGCCCCTATATATTAGGCCTCAGTGCTGGCATGAGGTTTTGTCTTGGCGTACTTTTGTCTCTTTCTAAAAGCAGTAATAATAGATTCATATTAATGGATTGTGGGAACATCTAGTCTTGTGTTACGAAAAGCCAGGCACGTTAAAGGCCTATGTTCTTTTTGCTCTAATTGCAAATCTGTGTGTATTGACTTGTTAAAGAATTTTAATCCCAAAAAGTTATTCCTCTTCAGAGATATTTTCTTCCTGTCTTTGTTGATCCGTGAAGTTTTCTCTGGATTCATTTCACTATTATATCTCTTTCACAGTTTAAGGAAGTTAATTACAAAAGGGACCTAAAAATCTTTGCAAAAGCAAGAGGAAGGAGTTCTAATGAGCAAATACCCGTAATGAAAATGTATTATCTCTTCAAATTCTCTTTGAACTTTAGCTATATGTCGTTCTTAAAACTTTCACTGCAGTCACTGCTTCTTGCAGTTATTTAGATGTCCTGTAGCTAATTTCTAAATTCACTACTGAAAATATCCACAAGATGCTAATTTTTGCTGTAGAATGGTTGCACTGTGTATGCAGAGTACATCATTCCCTTGATCAGGTGCACAGCTGTGAGTGTGGCTTGTTGCCGTTTGGCGTACAGCTAGGCTGCTGTGTTGGTAACTGCAGGTATGAAACTGGATTTATGGATTATCTTTTCTTAGAAGGTTTCCTACTTAACACAACTGTCTGATACCCATTAATAACACTTATTGTGTTCTCCTTTTTTAAAAAAAAGTGAATTGTAAATGAAAGCACAAGGTCAGTGAGACAGACAGGTGTATCATGAAATTAATTTAAAAAAATACCTTAAGGAAGGCAAGGACTAAAGTTGAGTTAAGAATAGAACTGCAAATTAGTGTATCCAAATTTGGAGATATGGATATGAGTTTTACAGAAAGGTGGCTAGTCTCAAAAAGCTGTACCTGCATATACACCTGCTGATGTCATTTCATCTCTATACCCTAAATAGTAAAAGTCAATTAATAGTAATAGTAATAATGAGGACAATAGTAAATCTTCACAATGACTCTGCAATATGTGCTGAAGTTGTATTAATTGCAGGGATTTAACATGCACTGTATGTTAAATACAAAAGATTAATATTATATTACTACTATCAAAGAGAGTGGGCTTATCATTTCTTTGGACAAATTGTGAAGGACATAGATGGAGCTATTTGGATCTTTTCAGGAATGCTGTGGAGGCAGAAAGCAAGTAGATGAACCTCATTATTTCTTGTTTAATGTAGCCTTTCAAACAGTGAAACATTTCCCTCCCATCTTGTTCGATAGGTTTCATGCCAAAGCCAGCTGCTTATCCAAAACATTAACACAACATCTTTGGTCATTGAAACCCCCTAGCTAATAAATTAGTCTGGGAATTGTTTATAGTTTCAGGACTGCAATAAAAATGCTGCTGAAAATGACAAAGATCTGTGGGATATAGTGTGAAAGGGCAGTAGATACTTCTTTAAAATGCAGTCCCTCCAATGAAAAGGATTGCTTGGGTGAAAAATTGTTTGCATATTTCTAAACACTTCAACAGGATTTTGCTCACACTTCAGCTCAGTTTCAGCAATTTACTCATGTATTTCTTAGAGAAAGGAAGCAATAAAGGTTTTGAAAGTTATTTACTAAATACTCCTCTGCAACAAGAATGATTTATGGCTTGTTCACACATCATTTTTCAGAGGCAGCTGAAGACATTACTGTCTCGTTCGCTGCCAGCTGCTTCTGACTGCCTCCTGCCAGAGGTTACCATGCCCTCAGATCTGTCTGGGCTTTGCTGCTCTTGTCGTTCTTCCCTATCCCATTTCAGTCAAAAGAAGATGGCAGCAAAAGTTCACAATTTAAGCTGCTTATTATAACCAGATGGCAGGCTTTTAGTACTGAAAATGCTGTGCAATGTGACTTGAAGGAAATTACTGGATTTAAACTGAGGAGGTGCTTCAAAGTACTTACCAGTTACAATGGGCAAATGGGCGTTATACCGGTTCAGAAGAGATCTTAGTGGTCCTTCCAAGCCTCGTTTTTTGCCATTGGGTCATTCTGTGATGCAATAAAACAGCAAAAACTTTGAGAGTTTAGTTAATAAATAGGTTGTGCTGATGACTTCAGAAAAAATTGTACTAAATTGAACTAAATGAACTGTAGCTATTTTTCCTACCTGAGCATAGCCTGAAAATAAAGTAGAATTTTCTGCAGTCATTGAAAATTTCTGAAAATCCTCATGCACATTTTTCAAATTTTGCTGCTGCAGGTAGTATGCAAGTGGGCATGTGCAAGTGCATATTGTGTTTGTAGGAATACATACTGTGTTTGCATGTTAGCTGCCACAATTCTGTGAAATAATGGTAATGTTTATCTGCACTTAGAAAGAGCAAATGGAAATGTGCAATGATAGTAAATGTGGAAATGTGCTCAAATACTGGATATATAGCTGTAAATTATGAAACAAATCCCAGTTTCACTTCTTCTTGCTAGATAATTTTTTGTGAGAAAGGGACACTTTTCCCGTTTTCGTTTATATTTCGTAGATATGTCTCTGAGCTATCCATGTTTATTGTTTGGAAATTTATGTATTATTTTTGTTTGAAAAGGCTAAAGTTGACAAACTAAATTAGGGAATACTTTGGTAATTGGCTTGATTAAGTGGCATTAATTAAGTAATATTAATTTGGAGTATGAAATAGAATATTAATGTACACAGTTTTCAGATGGCAGCAAAAATGGTTGCAAGCGCTTTGAATAACGGGATTAAAATTCAAACTGATCTTAACAGGTGGAGAAGTGATCCAAAATCAACACAAAGAAATTCAGTAAAAAGAAGTACACAGCACTATACCGAGGAAATTCAAATACATAAATATAAAATAGATAGTAACTAGAGAGTCAGGGTGTTCTACATAAAGATGTGGATGTTAGAGAGAATAAGGATGCTACTGCAGATAAGGCAAAGACCTTACTGGGATACCTTAGAAGAAGTACAGTAAAAAAGACATGGAGGAAATCATCCTGCTCTTCGCAGTTGTATGCATATCTCAGCTGGAGCACTGCAGCCCCATATAACCAAAAGCATACTGAAATCTTCCATCATGAACACATAGAAAGTCACAAAAGGTTTGTAAACTAAGCTCTTGCTCTGAATTGTCTTTTAGTAAATATACTCATTTTTGCATTCCACTGCACAGGAAGGCTAGGCAAATTAGCACCCTTGTTTATTTATCTTAAATTTTGCAATTAAGAACATTTGGATGAAACGCTAAAACAATTGTTTATTCCCAGAAAGAAAAGATTGAATAAGAACATGAAAATATTTCAAATGTTTAAAAGGCTAGTATAAAAAAAGAGAATTATTTACTGTACTCACTACCCAATAAGATAGGAAAGTGATTGGTTTATTTTGCTACAAATAATATTTAGGATACAAAAAGCCATCTACTTAAAAGGATAAGTATTGAAATGGGCTACCTAGGGAGGCTGAAGAATTTCCTCTACGTTTTCAACTGCATATTGGACAAACATCTACCTTAGGCAATCCTAAACCAGCTTTGAGCAAGGAGAAAGGCTAGATGATCTTGTGAGGTTCCTGGTAGTCCTCTATATCTGTTTTTTTCATTTGTGAACCTGATAATGAAACAAAAGAGTAACAGATTTAAATGTTTTAAAGATTCCTGCAGGGTCAGTAAGATTACCAAGATCAAAATGAGTTTACAAGATTCGTTGAGCACAACATCAGAATTGCCCAGGGTTTATTTTAGGTCATTGCAAACAGAACCCCTCTTCAGTCTTAGAAAAAAGAATTGTAAGTGAGGATGTCAAGTGGACTTTTTAGTAATTTTCACATTGAGTGATGCCCAGAAGAGGAAATAAAATGATATGAAGAGAAAGTATAGTGTAGGTAAACTTTTTAGGAATTCAAATACACAGTTAAAAGACTTCTAACATAGTTAAAGTCTATGTATGTTATGCCAGTCCATATAATATGGATATAATGATTAGAATGTGAGCATCTGTTAAATAAATCCAGTAGTAAATCCAAATGAATGTCATAATTATGTTCATGTTTTACAAAAAACATGATATATGTATTATGTACTAGAATATAATGCTCTGGAATGATAACACAAACCACATAGACTCTGAGCAAAAGTAGGCCTTCTAGGCTCACTATAAATAAATCTTTGACTCAAATGTAATGGTAGTCCAGATGCTAGAGCAAGAGGCATACTGGTAAACTAATTCCATATAGTTATTTTCCAAGTTTTATGCTCTGCTCAGATAAAGTGTATGGGCCTCTAGCTATTTGTCAGTAAAAAGGTGTAAGTAGTAAAAGAAGTACTTTCATTCAATATATTTAAAAAAACTGAATGCAACTCTATGGCAAGCGCATGAATGGAATGAGTTTACCAGGAAGTAAGGGGAAAATAAGAAAATTATAGGGAGTGCTTCTAATGTGTTGCTTTTTTTCCTGGTTCATTTTCTCTTCCTCCTACCTGAGTATATCTAATGGGTATAAAACTACTATAGGCTATATTTATTCTTGAAGCAACTAAGCCTCCAATTATTGTTTGTATGGAAATGAGTGTGACCTCTGTATTTAACACATACAACTACCTCACAAAATGCTGAGGTTGTTTTCTTCTCCCTTACAGAATTTCTCTCGTGTTGTTTTGCAACAAAAGCTAATAGGCATATTTAAGGAAGTGCCAGAGAGATTTTTCCTGAAAAAAAGAGAAAAGCACATATAAGGCAGATGAGGGCAGAACACAAAACCTTCCTGAAAGGGAGCTAGAGAGGAGAGATTGTGCAGGGCTCCAAAACGGAGGACTTTTCCGCACTACATAATCCCCATCCCACTCTGCCAGCCAACTACAGGTGTACACCACATGAGCTGGTAAAAAACATACTTGTGAAGGGCTTCGTGATAGTTATGTATTTATAATTCATTCATCCCAAGGTGCACTACTGCATCTGTTAGCTATAGCACTACAAATAGTAATGTTATAATCTAAATGTCAGACAGTATTTCTATTATAAACAGATTTTATAACTCAACTGTAAAAATTCACTCCAGACAGAAATTTGGCAGACTGATGCAAAGCTACAGTTTTGTCTTCCAAACCTTGGCCAGACAACAGAGTGGACTTGACCAATTAACAGAACTGAACCCATCTGCTGGGGATTATCATGGGTCATCAGCAACAATATCAAGATGGCCAAAAAAAGAGATGTGCTCCTCTGGCTGAACCATCACAGATTAAACGGCTTTAACACAGCTAGGTTTTTCTTTTTGGACAGAAGTAAAATTTGAAGTGCTTTGGCATCAGCTGTTTGTGGGGAGGGGACTGTATGCTCTGGGTTTTTTATTTTAATTTTTCTCTTTCTAAGAATGATGGCTCCAGTTACTGAGAAACTGGTTAAGTGTAATTGCTTTTGGTATTTAGAAAAGTAAACACCAAAACTGAAGCCAGATGAGATCATTGTGATATTTGAAGTATTATCACTATGTGACTAAGGTTTTTTCCTAAGGGATTTTTCTCTCGTAGTACATTAGCTACTATGTTTACCTTAACAGGTAGCAAGTGGAGTGGCTGATAAGTCAGAGCGTCTATAGTTGTTGAATCAAATTTGCTAGGTGTAGTCCACTTTTAGGAAGACACATGTATTAACTATTGTTAAATTTTACAGACTAGAATTTCATCTTTTAGCGAGATAAGGGTATATAATCAACTATTTCTACATTTTTCCATTTCCTTCTCAGTCCCTGTAATTGAGAGTATTTTCTTCTGAAGAAAACTACAATAGTGTCAGTGATCGATTTTATTTTTTCAAAAGGAAAAGGACATTATACTCTGAGATAGCTAGCTTAATAAACAGAACAAAGCAGTAACTAGTCAGTAGAACAGCTGTCAGTCACCTTATTATCAGAAGAACTGACTATATTCAGATAAAATTCTATCTATCTTTTGTGTCTTTTAGAACTTTACACTGAGTTTACTAACCAGAGCTAGTCACTCAGTGTAAAAGTACACTTCTTTACTCAACAAGGACTTGATTTCAGTCTATGCAACTGTTTAAGGTTTACACTATCTGAGAATGTAGCTCATTACCCTTTGATGCCTAAAAATCCTGAATGAGATTTTTAGGGGGGGTGGGAAAGGCCTATAAAGGATAATTTCTTAATTTATTATTGAAAGGTAGCCAATATTAGTATAAACTATGGTAGCATATGGAAAAGCTACTACTGAAATACAGTTTCTAGATGAAAAAAAGGAACATTAATGTAAACAGAGCTAACTATCGCTATCAAGCTGGAAACGGGGGATAGTGCTACAAACATGCCACACTCTTCCGCTAATTGACCTTCAGTATTTACTAATCGATAGATATCATGGGCTGTGATTTTACCTTTAAACCAAAAGACATTAGCTGATTCTTTCTGCATGTTTGCCTGTTATAGCAGAACTTATTGCATCTTCCTGTAGTGTTCCTTTAGCCCTTCCTTCATCTCATCCCTTCAGCCAAATATTAACTTTTTCATGATGGGATTGCAAAATTTCAGCTTTCTAAAATTTGTTTTGTTGCTATCTGCACTGTAATCCAATGACAAATTTTTAGTGCTGAAAGCTGATATGGTTGATAATTGAGAAGGCTGTAAAAATACAGTGGGAGAAGACATCTACATCATCAGCGTGAAGAGGATCAGAAAAGTATAATATATGTCTTTGTATGCACTAATACTACTGATAGTAGTTATAATAAACAATATAAAAATAATTAGTATAAAAATCTTTATTTGCAGAGTTTTGTGGAATGAGATTCTACTGATTTCTATCTAGCTGCTCAGAATCGGAAATCAGAAATCTCCATACAATTATTAAAAAAAATCAAGACCATAATATATATTCAATTACAGTAGAGAGACTACAGGACAGCGTCGACTAAGAAACTGAATCTAGATATATTTTATAGTTCTAGAGCTCATCCTTCTCAACTGAAGTTCGTGAACAGCAGGTAGAAAACCTGCTCTGCTGCTGACTGTGCTC